GCTTTTTCCTTTGCCTTTTTTTGGACCAACATTTTAAAATTTTTTTCCCCGGCCCCTTCGCCGGGGGCTTCTTCCCCCCGGCCCCCTTGGCCGGGGGCCCCCCCCCCCCCCCCCACCCCCTGTCGCTCACCAAATCCCCCGCTCCATCAGTACCGGGAAGCATGTAGACGCTTGGGAGGCCCTTCGCCGCGGCCTCCTCCGGCGACATGACGTTCACAGACCGGTACGTCAGCCGATCGGTACGCCCCTGCATGGTCTGGATAACCTTTTCGAAGTCGGGAGAGGGCGTGGGGGAAAGGAGGGGCTCTAGGGTCGGAGGAGGGGGCTTCGTCTGGGCGCTCTGACATTTTTGCCTCAATGCAGTGGTTCGTGGGCTTTCCAGTCGGCGGTAGAAGGCATACGGACGGGTGGGGGGGACGTGAAATGTGCAAAAACATTGCCGTTGGGTTCGTTCGAAACGGATGTCACGTAGGCCCTCCCTCCTGCCCTTGACTCGTGCAAAGGCGGGAGGGCAGGAGAGGTTCGGGTTTCCAAGATATCGGTGGCGCACTACCGCAGTCGTTAGCGAACCGGTATGTTCGAGTCTTTGTCATGAATCTCAACCGACGTGAGCAGCGGGCGAAAAGTCGAGGTTGATGTTCTTAGCACTAAGGGAACGTAAGTTTAGGGAGGCACACAGGGGATGCTGTATTGTAAGTCGGTGTGTAGTTGGTTCTCCGTTTCTAGAAAATGTTTGTTCATGTCCCTCATGTGGTATGCTCACCTTCTTGCCGATATCTTCCACCCGCGAGACCAAGCCGTCCAGTCTGGCCTCCACGAAGAAGTAGAGCTCCCTCCGCCGCCCGCTCCAGGTTACGAGGTTTCGTAAAGAGTTCGCGCGCCCGGGACGGAACAGCTCGGACACCTGGAGGAGAGGTAGAGAGAGAGAGAAAGAGAGAAAGAGAGAAAGAGAGAGAGAAAGAGAGAGAGAGAGGCAGACAGACAGACAGACAGGCAGACAGACAGACAGAAGTAGGCAGAGACAGTTAGATTGACAGAGACAGAGAGATAAACAGAGGCAGAGACAGAGATACAGAGACAGACGGGGGCAGGCAGAGGCAGAGAGAGACCCGACAGGCAGACTGAAAGACAGACGCAAGCCTGCGCATGTATGGACAAGGCTCACGAACGGTTTCCAACCGCAGGAGGCTGCATTTGTCCGACACAACCCAGGTTCGTTCCCTGCCCCTCATCACCGACATGATGGTGGCAGGTGGGTGTATGCGGCCGGCGGTAAGGCAAGGAAGAAAACTTACTGCCTCGTGATTGTATCATTATCCATTCTGCCCATCGTATGTTATATTGCCGTATTCATCCTAGCACTCCGAACGACGTGGTTTGGCACGCAGCTATTGGAAGACGGGCGATCCCCCCCTCGACAAAGCTGCCCTTCGTAAACAGAGCGCACTTTAACGGAGCATCAAACTACGCCGAAACCATCGTGACCCTCAACCCTACCCTTCGGAAGCTCGACGGTCACGATCAGCGTGGGTGATACAGAACGCCGGAATGGCGAATACAAAACGCTGGGTACTTCTTGTAGGTCTGCCGGCTTTTCCCTGTCCTGCCCCATCAGCTTCCCACTCCACCCCTCTTCTACTCCAACACGCTCAACGCTTGTGCAACGGAAGCACACAGAACACCCCCGAATAGTGCACGTGCGCGTGTCCAGAAGCCACACGTTGCTGCTTGTCTCACCTTCCCTTCGAGCGGAAAGCGCACCCGCGAGTACAGACGGTCCTTCCTCACGATACGCACGGGAGAGGGCAGCCAGGAGGAAGGGGGACGGGGGACGGGAAGGACGGTCTCATTTCCTCCTTAACGGCAGTCGTTTTTACAGCGTTCGATACCGTTCCTGTTCTGGAAAGGTATACTGCCGACATGTTCTTGCTCCGGTAGTATTTGAAGTACTACATTCAACAGCTTTGCTACTCCGTTCATTCAGGTTGGCTCGGTGGCCACCATCCGAAGGAGATGGGGGGGGCGTGATATCGATCATCGTGGGCAAAGGCGGGAATGTGTAACACGCGTTCCCAGATGGTTGGGGGAGAAGGAACATCTGGTGAAAGACAGGGACGCACGCAGTACTTGAGGAAAACAGAGTTTTTTTTGTTTGACAACAGGGAAGCGTGTGGTTCATACAGACCAAGCCTTTCGTCTACATGAGGCAATATTATTCAAAAGCCTGACTACGCCAAGTACTACACCCGCATTCTCTTGCCAAACGAACACCAACCACCATGCGCCGGACAGTAGCGCAAACGAGGAATTAAATCTTTCTCTGAAAACCTCTGCGCTCTTCGCTCTGTTTAGCAATGATAGGGCCTCTTTGTGCTGCTACTATTTGTAATCTCTCACCGCTCGGTTAACGAAAACCTCGCGAATTTCCTTCGCAACTGTGCACCGTCGATCCTGCACGCCGCCGTTGTTAGGTTTTTCAGTTCCACCCGAGCGAGGAGAGGGACAGGGCACAGGCAACCGGGGTGTGTACACACAACGTCGGGATGTGCTTAGACGGGATGGAGACGTGGCGCGAGGATTGGTGCAGGCAAAATGAGGGTCGTGAAAGGCGAAAGGTGAGCGAAGACTTCGCGGTAAGTCGCACATGGGAGCTGCAAGATTGCACTGTCTTGCGTAATTATTGAAGCAGAGAGCCCTGCCCCACAACAGGCCCCCCAGCCAGCTTCATGATACAAACCGCGCGCCCGGGTCGCACGCTTTCAACCCCCCACTTGTCGCGACAAACAGCTACCAACCAAGCCATCTGCCGACCAAGCAAGCAATCAACCAATCACCTTGTAGAAACCAAGCCATCTGCCGACCAAGCAAGCAATCAACCAATCACCTTGTAGAGCGTGAGCCTCATGGTGGTGCCCTCCGGGTGCACGTTCTCCGCGAACAGCTCCGCCTTCGTCCTTCGGTACATGATCGTGCGCTGACCCCTCGGCGGGTACCGCAGGGCCAGCAGGTCCCGGTCAAGGGTCAGCTGCAGCACCCACGACGGTGGGATGTCTAAGATGCTATCCTGTCGGGGGGTAAGCGACGTGGATGGGGGGGGGGGGGTCGTTGTTGGTTGCCGGGGGGACGCTTCCGCTTCCATGAAAGCTGTACGTATGGTCTGCTTTTCTAATGGGGGGGTTGAAGCGGAGGCGAGGGATCTATCACGGTGGAGCGAGATAGAGAGGGATCTATCACGGTGGAGCGAGACAGCGAGAGACGGAAGATGTTTCGGCGTCGTAGTGTAGCATTGATTGAAGATGTCACTAGCTTCGGGGATCGATACAAGCGCCGGCGCGTAATGTTATCCCTCTCGGTATCAGGGAACGCTGACGTTCATGCGCAATTGCCCGAAAGAGCACGATAGCTAGATAGAGCGTTTTTTTTGCCGCCTACTATCTGAAAATTCTCTTCGACCAGCTTCTTTTACCTCCCCCCGAACATGAGGTAGCCAGGAGAAGACAGAAGATATACTGGGGAATAGCAAAGGGGCTGAAAAGGCGGAAGTGATATCGATAGCATAGATCGGGTAGGGAAAACCTTCTTGAGCCACCTTCTTGGCAAAACAGAAAGGAACTAGTCGGCCATTGGTGATCAGTCCTGAGGAAACGACGCTCCGTCCCCTCGCGGAGAGGCGTGGTCTAGCAGCTGCGGCACTTGCAAAACATGAGCTCGCCCCCCCCTGTCTTGCGGCTCTCTACCCGCGAACCTTTTTTTAAGAACCTCGCTTTCGTCCGCACTTGACTTCCGAAACGATTTTTTTTTGTGGGTGGTGGTACCTTCTTGGACCCCGCGCTCGCCGGTCCGCCTTCGCGCCCGTCGTTGGAGTTGGCGTCGTCGTCGTCGCCGCCCCCTGCCCCCGTGAGGAGGCCTAGGTCGTCATTCTCGTCCAACGCTTCGGCCGCCTCCAACATCTGTTGGGTCGGGGAGAAGGAGGTGGAGAGACGCAGAGAGGGGGGAATTATGTGGCAGAGAGAGGGAGAGAGAGAGAGAGAGAGAGAGAGAGAGAGAGAGAGAAACAGAGAGATAGATAGAGGGACGCAGACAGACAGACGGAGGAAGAGACGGAGACGGAGACGGAGACAGGTAGATCGACAGACAGACAGATAGATCCTAAGATGCAGAGATATAGACAGTTAGGGTGGGAAGGCGAGGAAATGCGGATAGGCCGCCGGGCATACCTTGTGATCATATTCACCAAAACAAGCATCAACCCAACAATAACGGAACCCCGCAAGGAAAAACCCGACGCCCCGCCACCCCCGCCGCGTCAACGCCTCCTCCTGACCTCCTGCATGGGATCGATGAAGACGTACTCCCACAGCCCTCCGTCCATCAGGTCGAAGGAGAGGGGGGCTGCTGCTCTCCGACCGCCTTCGCCGCCCTCGCCGCCTTTTCCATCGGTCTCCTTCTGTCGCTGCTGATGCTGCTGCTGCTGCTGCTGCTGTTGCTGTTGCATGTTGACCCAGTAGTTCTTGGCGTTGAAAAGCCCCTCGACGGTGAGGTAGGGCGCCGCGGACGTCGGGTAGATGTCTCCCGTGGTGGGTTCGACGTAGGACACGCCTGTTGCCCCGCGCTTTCCCCCGCGCACCAGCACCTGGAGCGGTATCATATTGTTGTCGTTGTTGTTGTTGTTATTGATGCGGCTGTTGTTGCTATTGTTGTTGTTCTTCTTGTTGTTGATGATGAATGTTGTTGATTTTGTTGTTGTTGTTGTTGTTGTTGTTGTTGTTGTTGATGATAGTCATGCTGCAGCAGCAACAACAACAACAACAACAACAACAACGGCACACCAGGACATGCAGGTACCGCCGCCAACCCCCACACGTGCCCCCCCCCCCCCCCCCCCCCGCAACAACCCC